CCTAAACCCGAACTCGACCCGGCCCGACCCGAATATCACACTTAAAAAACCGATCCGACTCGACCCGAATATCACACTTAAAAAACCCGACCCGACCCGAACAAAATAAAGTTTCACCCGACCCGACCCGAATATATGAATTAGAAATCCGACCCGACCCGAAATAATAAAAAATATTTTTATTTAATAAAAACAGTGACTTAATTGAAAAAAATATATAGAGGGGTATTATTGTAATTATTCCTAAATATATAAGGTAAAATTATATATATTTTCGGGTCGGTCCGGTTTTTTTCACCCTAAACCCGAACCCGACCCGACCTGACCCGAATATCACACTTAAAAAAACCCGACCCGACCAAAATAAAGTTTCACCAGACCCGACCCGAATATATGAATTAGAAACCCGACCCGAAATAATAAAAAAATATTTTTATTCAATATATGAATAAGTTACCAAAAGATTGATGAGGGTAGTATAGTCAAATTTCAATTCCCTCCAACAAGGGAATTGAATTCCATCCATTTTTGGATGAAATTCACTTTCCCTCATTTGATGGAATTGAATTCCATCAGAGATTCCAATTCCCTTGAAAAACTTGAACCATGGGAAAGTGGTGGAATTGGATTCCAATTCCCACCAATTCCAAGGGATTCCATCAAACCAAACGCCACCTAAGTCATTTTCCGTGATGCAGGCATATAGTGTACCATTGTACTCTATTCAAGAAAAAAATTGCCTAAAAGAATTTCACAAAATTATATCTCAATTTTTTTTATAAATTTGTAAAGGAATTATTGTTATTCCTTGATGTCACGGTTCAAGCATCAGGAATGTCAAGAATTCGAGTGTTCAATATCAAAAGGTTGAGAGTTATCTTTGAACAGATATTACCTTGTACTTAACTGAGATTAATAAAAAAAGAAAATATTTAACTATTTAACAATGAATGTTCATATTTTTGTATATACGGTGCTCAAACTTGGTACTAAGGAATAACAATAAATCTTTTAGCCCTTAAAATCATTTAGATAGATAGATAGAGAGATGAAATTTTAAAATTTTAAGGATACAAACTTAAATTATCAATAAAAACATGAAAAATTACTTATAAAAATTTAAAATTTTAAGTGGTGTGATCGCATCCTCCAACACCCCAGGGTCCATTACTGATTAGCACAAATTACTTGGTTCGATATTAAAAAAAGAAATTGATTTTTTATCGAGTCATTAATGAATCAGTTGCAGTAATTTGAGCATTTAAGTGAGTATAATACTTCAATTGAATAGAGATAATTTTTTTATTAAACTAAAGTTAATTACAAAGTAGTATCTATTTTATATATTATCAACCATTTGATAATAAATATCTAATTACTCTTGCAGTCGTTGGTGTCCCGTGACGTTTAAGTTACAAACGAAATTTGATTAAACTAAAAGCATAACAACAATGAAAAAGATGGGCAATATAATAACATTAAGTCGAGATTCGAAGAATACTGATATGAATCTCAAATCAATCCCAAATTCATAAAATAGAATATTCAGGGAGGAGTTTATCTAACATTATCAATTACCAAATGAAACAATATTCATAGATATGATTAAAATAGAAAAATTAGGATGAGTTGCTACTTTATTTTCAAACACTAGTTTTTTTTTTTTACAAATAAAATTCGTTTATTTTTTTTAAAAAATGAAATATTTTATATTTAATAAATGTTTATAATCATAAACGCAAACTAAATATATAATTAGGATATATTACTATATCCATTGATACAAAAATTCAGTCATTTAAGATCAAATAAGGATTATACAAGGAAAATATTAAAAATTCATCCATAAAAACTCGAACAAAAGATCGATACGAACAAATCTGATTGCATCGTCAAATGAACCATAACAAGATATCAATCTTTTTAAAGAGCATCGATAACCACAAACCAGAGTTAAATGTCGTGAGAAAATATCTTTGAACGCAAACCGCCTATCTAAATCTACTATGAAGTCTAAAGCATAGAAGATCAACATGATAACAAATAAACATCATATTGATCAGTCAACGTCATCAAATCCAACCATGATAAAATTAAATGAAAAGAACGACTAAAACGATCGAGAAAAAAATCGAAAACATGCAAAAAAAATAGAGAAAAATGTGTCATGAAGGTAGAGGAAAGCATGTCATAAAGATAGAACCATTGAGAACTAAAAAGTAAAGGAAATGCATAGAGGCGATACAAAAAAATAAAGGAAAAATAAAGAACATCGACGATCAACGACCAACACTAATACCGTCGCCAGCCAATCAAAGAAGAAAAAAGAGGCGAGCCGTTGCACAAAGTTAATAGAAAACTTTTAGGGTTTGTATAGGTAGTTTTGCGGTATAATCTGACAATTTTCGATTGGACTTAAAATGTTATACTTTTTTATAATATTTTTATTGAGCCTATTTCTGCCGTTTTTAACCTTAAATTAAGTTATCTTTTTCTAGACTTTCTCGGGTTTGTATAATTCTTTTAGGAGATAGTAGTTTGTTTACGTTAAATGTGTAAATAATAAGAGTATAACTCTGAAAAGATAAAAGCCAGCTGAACTTCCCTTTTAGAGTCTTGGTTCATAGATATCATTCATTCAATAAAATTAGTCTGTTTAATTTCAAAACAAAAAGGAAAAAGTGAGATGTTTCTTCTTCAAAGTTGAACCTTCAATTTGTGTATTTACTTTCTCAATTCTCATTTTTCAAGTTGTATGGAGTGAAGAACACTCATCAAATTAAAGATTCGATTTTACCAACAGAACAAAAACTTGAAACAACCAATTCATTGGTAAAGAGTCAAAGACAAGTAAAATTAAAATAACAATAGTTCAAAAGTGATTCTCAAACAAGGAACTAAGTGAAATACCAAGCATTTTGGCATATCTGAAGTAAACTGAACACCATCTACCTGCAATAATAGCCTATGGAAAAACCCACCATATATGGTCTTCATAAGTTGTCACTTCTGCGAGTTATGGCATGAGTATAGTCGGCCTTCCTAGAACAGGCTATTAACACAAAAACGAAATGCATGAGGAGATCCCAGACCCAGTTCGAAAGCCAAAATCGTTGCTTGTCCTCCATGAAAATAATATTGGTTTCATCTAGAAATCTTCGAATTCAAATCTCAAAGATAAGCCTGCTGAGATTAATGAGACTGGGAGAAAAGCAAATCTCATCAAGTGGCCATAACAGATCTCTTCTCATTTCAAGCCAATTGTAGTTGTTCTTTGAGATTTGAGCAACTTTCATTCATTTTGCGTATCCTCAACAGCTTTGTTGAATGAAGCAGCAAGGTACTCGGCAAGACTTTGTTGAGAGTTAAACTTGTTTGAAGAAGCCTCTGAAACTTTTGCCTTCTTTGGGTCAATGGATTTCGGAAGCCATGAATTTGAAGTGCCCGGAGTACTCGAACTATCCCTTCCAGCTTCTTGTCTTTTCCATGGAATAGGTTCTAAATGCTGCCAAGGATCTTCCAACATGGATTGATCAAAGTAACTCTCTGGCCCTAATATCCTGTTTGATGCTGAGCTACGACCACGAAAACCTTGTCCTCGTCCGACACTCCTTCCTAAACCAGGAGTGCTGCTCCCAGTGTATCCACGACTCCTGCCTCTTCCTGGACTGAAATAAGCACTACCTCCAGATCCTTGATCAAGATTCAGCCTGTTACCAAACATTTGAGGCCTGGCTGTTCCATAGTTGAAACTAGGGCCATCTCCTAGAGAAAAGTAAGGGCCGGGCAAATTACCATAAGTTGATGTATTAGAAGGATTCCAGACCCTTTGAGAAGTTCTAGGATGCCTGGGAGGATTACTATACATTCCTCTCGGTGTTCCATCAGATACCAAGTTATAATGATCAGTGGCCTGTGATCCATTCCAAGCACCAGATTGGCCTGGATGCATGAGTGAAGGACTTCTTATTCTTGGGTTGTATGGACCATGGTTGTATACACCTTGAGCAGGTGAAAATTGGCTTTGCATCTGATGGACAGGCAAATCCCTATCGAAGTTCCTTGGTCCTGTCAAACCAGAATAGTAGGCCGATCAATTAGAAAAACAAAAAGGAATACCAACTCATGTTAATTGAAAAATTAGAGAAATTCCATACAACTAGTTTTAACTTTTAACCGATAACTCAATTCACAAATGTTCAGCTTAGTAGTAGCACAAATCAAATATTATTGCATGCATCAATAATAATATCGTGGTCGTGGTCGTGGTAGTGGTAATACGTGTCTTCGACACGTCCGCGCGGATACTATCTTTTTAGAGAAAATTCTTAAGAAACAAATGCAATACCACCAGTCGCATTGCGATTTTCAACTATCGCAATGCGAATCTGAAAATCGCATTGCGATTTTGGACTATCGCAATGCGAATCTGAAAATCGCGTTGCGATTTATACTATCGCAATGCGAATCTTAAAACCGCGTTGTGATTTTCGACTATCGCAATACGAATCTGAAAATCGCACTGCGAATCTTAAAACCGCGTTGCGATTTTGGACTATCGCAATACGAATCTGGAAAATCGCAACGCGAAATGGGGCCATTTTTGGAAACTGAGTTGCGAAGTTGGAGTTCGCGTTGCGATTTTGTTGGTCATTTTGGCAAATCCAAAAAAAGTTGATTAAAATCGTAAATTATAAGTCATTTTCGGTCACTGAGGTTATTTTCTCTTTTCTATTTTGCATGACGAGAAGAAAAGGGGTAACGACAATGTGCAAAGATTAACAATTAAATGTTCTTGGACTGCACTGACGGGCCAGGCCGAGCCCTCTACTTCTCTAAACCCATAGCTTATCCTAAATCAAATTGAATAAAGTATATAAATGATTTTCGACTATAACACTATTTTGTTGAGTCTCATGATTTTCGACTATAACACTATTTTATTGAGTCTCATGCTTCTAAAGATCAGCAATTGAAAATTCAGCGAGCATATACAGGCCGAGGGTCATTGGTTTTGATTGCTTTAGTTTTGCTCTTGCATTGAATCTTGAACGAGCTGAGAATTGAGGGAAAATATGTAAACAAGTTTGAACCGTTTATATAATCATGCTTACATGGATGATTTCATGTCACATTAGTTAGATGCTGATGATTTCAAAGCTTTCAATTCTTGATTAGATGGTCTTATATTAGTAAGATGAATGTTCTTCGATAATCTGCATCTTTAAGCATTTGATATCTTTGGTACCCTTTTCATGACAGTTCAGCTTGATGAATGAAGTCAGATGAGTTTCTGATCATGGTGTTATTTCAGTATGTGATACTGTTTTTTTTTTTAATTAGTGAAAACTGGATAGAGATCGGAACGATGATGGAAAACAAAAGGAGCCCTTGCTCTGTTGATCATACCAGTTTCACTTCTTTGGCATCGAAACGACAGAAGTCCGACTTATCGATCCCCACCAAGGTATTTAGCCTTCTTTACTCAAATTTATGTCTCCTCTTAGGAATATATATTCTTCTATAGTCATTTCATAGTTATACTAAAGGAATCCCTCACCCTTTTTCGAAGGAAGATGCCTAATTTATATCCGCATGGCATAAACTACATTCTCTTGACTTATTTTAGGGGTTATATTCTCGAATATGGTCACGATTGCGTCTTCTGCTATTATTATTTTATCTGCAATGTCAAATTGGTTTCTAGCAATGCAGAGTTTCATCTCTTCATTTCTTCTTTCTGCATACTAATTACTAAGTTGGATATGGTTTGTTTGTAGCTAATAGAATCCTAATTTACTCCTTTTTCGCAATAGGATAAGAAAGATAAGGTCGGGGAACGAATTGTGACTCTGCAGCAGCTTGTTTCGCCATACGGAAAGGTACATTGATATTTTGTGCATCCATTATTATGGACATAATTAGTGTGGCAAAATGAATTTTGGGCATCCACTGGAGTTTTTGCCTACAAACATCCTGCATTGTGACTCTCTAGTTGATGGACTCCAAAGGGAAACCTTATCATCCCTTCGTAAACACACCAATCCATTATTAGGTTTTATTTCTTTCCATATTTACGACCTTTTAATCCTTATATACATGTTTGAGCATTTCAATAATTTGGATATGCATGTGTGTGCATGTATTTATGCATGTATTTGTGTGTTTTGATTGTGAAGTGATCTTTGTCATTTCTTGGTGCAGCTGATACGGACCAACATACAGATTGCAATGATAAATCCGGCATTAATAACGATCAATTGCTTTCGAGTTCAGAGATGAAAATAATTCCTTGGAGCAAGTACTTAGGAAGATTGAAATTGTGCATGCTAAGGTTCAGAAACTCAGGAATCTTCTCGATCAAGTTATGTCGAAAAATGTCTCGAAGTTTTCTTCCTCTGAGAACTTAAGCTTCCTTGCTGCTTGTGATGCTCAAACCAGCTCCGCCCCTAGCCCTACGTTGTCAGCTGGCAACGGAGACACAATATCTGCCAGACCTGCATTTAACACAACTCAACAAATTTGCGAATATGCTGGAGATATGGTTATGCCTGCAAGTGCCATTTCAAGTTATGGAGAGGCTTTCCATGTTCCTGATATAATCGAAAGCACTGTTGGATTATTGTCGTCTGCTGAAGTTACCTGCCACCAGCCACCACTTGTAGACTCGTGCGAAGATGTAAGCCCTTTGAACATACAGAACTACATGTGTATTTTGGCTGATGTTTTACCAGATAAGATAACGCCATCGATTTTTATTTTGAACTGAAAGTAAGCTTAACTGATCTGCATTTTCTTTCCCCTAGATATATGATAATTCATTGCAAAGATTTCCGGAGGCATAGGTTAAAACACTGAAAAACGAAAACAATCTAGCAAGTCTGGGTCTCGTGTCCCAGCATCGGTTATTTCCTCTGCTATCCGCAGGCTTCAACCTCCTTTGCACAAGAAAAGACTGTTATCTGTTTGACATGTTTTTTTCGGCTTCTCATGCATGAACTACTCTCGATTTAGTTATGGAAAATGAGAATCTGTTCATTATGATACCTGATGGCATTTGCAGATTGTGGAAAATGTTCCGATACGGAATGAAGGAAATGTCGGAGATAAACAAGCTTTAATGGCAATAAACAGTCGATCTATGAAGCAACATCATCAAACCGAGAAAGTAGAAGGAGAGAGCTCCCACCCTTCTCGTATTGCAACATCAGAGCCTAATAACGCAACAAAAAACGTTGTCTCAGGAGCAATCAATTCTGAGATCATGTCTAGCTTCAGACATATGTTTCAGTAAAAGAAAGCGAGGGGAATGTAAAGCCGGCTCAGTCGGTCTGAGGGGGTTACACTCTCTCTCCCTCTGCCTCTACCTCGCTGGTACATTCCCTCTCTCTGTTTCTTCATAGGTTCTCATGCACTTCTTTATACGTACTTTTATACGTATATACCAACATAATATGTGATGGGTACTGTTTTCAGGAGAAGGAAAGTTTTTTTTGCCTTATTTTGTTTTTGTTTCCTTCTGGGTTTTTGTTTGTTCTTCGTTTGTTTACTTTCTTGTTTTAGCTTAATGGGTTGTTTGAGTATAGCTTGGAATATGTTTCTTTTGCTTTTTCTACTTTCATGATCATTTCTTACTTCTCATGTATGTGGGAGCATGTATCATGTATGTGAATATGAATGTCATGACGCATGCATGCATGTTGACATGAGCTTTACTTGCATGATGATATCTGAATTACAAATTTGATTACAAATTTGAGGAAGGTGGGGGATTTCTTTGAATTTTTCACATTGTTAGCTTTTTCTTTTGAGATGATGCTTTACTGCTCTATTGCCCCCTCTCCCTCCCGTTTCTGCAAAATAAGTTTCTTCCATTTCGTTCTTTTTTTTTTTTGGAAAATTAGTCACCAAAGTCTTAAATTTGTTCCTATTCGTTATCTTGTATTGTATTTAATTCAAAATTCAATTGAGCTAACAAACACTGCAATGTCTGGAATGGTTTCTGATAATTGAAGAACTTAGTCAGCTGTTACTAAAATTTGGAATATTTGTTCAACAAGCTCTTTCTGATGTCTTGTTTCAAATTCAAAATTCAAGAATAGAAATGCATTTTTTATGATAGTTGGATTCCAGGCTTCAAATATGGTAGCGTTTTATACAATTTGCCTTGTGTATCTGCACAATCACTGATTTCTTGTATCTTATATGGTCATATGAAATGAATGATGGTATACATTTAATGGCTTCTGCATTGTCTTATAGTTCTAACTTCCTGGGGGGAATTCTCTAATTTCATTTCTTTCTTTTCTTTTCATTTACCTCCTTTGATCAAAATCATTTGTGCTATTCCCGCCTTGTTTAATTACCGAATTAGCTAATAATCTAGCTGTGTTTATCTTTTAGTTCACGTGCACATTTGATTTTGGAAGATTTGAGTTTTTGAAATTTAATATAAGCTGGTTTTTAATCAGCATGAAGGTGAACCATGGAGCCATTGTCTTTGGTGCATTGCTTTTTGGTACTATGACTGTTGTATGGCTTCTGAACGGATACTGATGGATGTTAATCCAGGTAATAAACTACATTGTGCTGCAAAAGCTGCAGCTGACAAGGAGAAGACGGTCCCTTGGATAGCTTTGTTCAAGGTGGATGAATAAGTGCAAAGAGAGCATTGATAACATGGAGGTTGTGAGGCATAAACAAAATAATGCTCCCGAGGATGTCGAGGTTGATATAATAGGATGCACAAATAATAATGACACTACAACAGTTAAAATTGAGGATCCGGATGCAACTGAATGTTCCAGTTCATTTGCTGACACCGCATCTGATACCGATAAATGTTCTGGATTGAGTGATGCTGAAGTCGAATCTCCGTTCGTTGGTGATGCTGCTTTTGCATCTGCTAACGAACCATTTAGTAGTAATTCAAAATCTTGAAAGAGTAAATCCTAAAGCTCCAATGCTTAGTAAAGAATTTAGTTGCTAACCATCATAGCTCCCTAATGGAGGTACACCATGCCCACCCACACCCGTCCGAAGAATGATTGTTATTGCAGGATTAATTAATGCATGCCGACTCTTACGAATCTGCATAGATAAAATAAAATATTATATGCATAAAATAATTCAAAATTTTCTCCAACTTGGTCAAGAAAATGCATGCAATACTTTATAGTAATTCATTTTTATTCCACAAAACCAACTTTGGAGAAGTGTTGAACAGAAAAATATAGCATACCTCATCTATATTCTCAAATGGAACTACCACCTATTATTTAAACAAAAATTGTTAAAGATTTGAACATATATCCTTTCAGTTTACAAGTGTTAAATATACATAAAATTTCCTATCTTTTTAGTTAGTTTAGTCATTTTCCCCTTTAAAAAAGAAAAATAAAGGGATTAATGCATCTCTGGATTCTACCATTACCAAACTGACTATTACGTTTCAGCTTACCTTATGAAGACAAAAAACCTTGGTAATTAATACAACAAACTGGTAAGCTAACCTTAATTTGTTTGGAGAACACATTAGAATGGAAACATATGTGCCATGCCGAGACATACATACGACCATGGTGCAAGAATGATCTCTCAAGTGCACACGAATAACTATGCTCCACAACCTGAAAGAAATGTCAGTTTGTCAACTGCAGCTAGAAGTGATGAAACAGGACTGCCCCCAGAACTAATATCTGTTACTCTAACCATACCATGCCCAATTTATTTATAAATAGTTCTAGTTAGAAATACATTCTATGAGACTTGCCTCATCTGGATGGAGGTTAAATATTGTCTGTAAAGGCCCTGGCTTTTGATGAACCACTATAGGCCCTTGTTTTTCTGAAGTGACCCTTCTTCGAGCTCCAGCTCCAGCATATCCATTTACACGCCTGTCAACAGAAGCTTTCAAACTACTCAATGAAATATAGAGACAATAAACATGATTACACCTGTATTTTCCATTAAGAGGGACTAACACTGGAAATTTTTTCATCTTAATTATTTTCATTTTTAGCATATATTCGTATAAAAAGATGCAAAATTACCTGGAAGAATTTACAGGTGATTTTTGTGTTGTAATGTGTAGACAAACCTGAAAGAAGTAAAACCTCTTATTGATCGTCATAAGAATTAATAAAAGATGTAAAGAAGCCAGAACTTTTTAATGAAAGAGCACCTGTCCAGGTTCCCTGTCTAATGTATGCCATACTGGGGTGCTTTCACCTACACTTTCAACTGGAACAGTAACTTAACCAAGGATTGCACTCTTCCACACTATATCCCAGTCATATATTGTCACATTTATCTGCAGGGTGAGTCAAAAGGATTCTCTTAGACAAATAATACCACATAGGAAAAAAGAAAAGTTGTTTTAAATATGTCTTCGTAAAATTCCCTTTGATTAAAATGCCAAGAACAAGAAGTGTAAACCTGACAAATATGGTATTAGGGACATTCATGTTACATGGATTGGACCAGCAAAGATATAATCACAATTTGCAGCACCCAACTTCATAAGTGAATGTAAAATTGGTACAATTTTATGATAGGATCCTTGATTTTAGGATTTATTATTTTAAATAACCTATTTCTTAATCTTATGAACTTATATTAGAATATTTAATTTACTTAAATGTTTTTTGTTTCCCGACTCGACCCGAATATCACACTTAAAAAACCCGACCCGACCCGAACAAAATAAAGTTTCACCCGACCCGACCCGAATATATGAATTAGAAATCCGACCCGACCCGACCCGAAATAATAAAAAATTATTTTTATTTAATAAAAATAGTGACTTAATTGAAAAAAAAGAGGGGTATTATTGTAATTATTCCTAAATATATAAGGTAAAATTATATATATTTTCGGGTCGGTCCGGTTTTTTTCACCCTAAACCCGAACTCGACCCGGCCCGACCCGAATATCACACTTAAAAAACCGATCCGACTCGACCCGAATATCACACTTAAAAAACCCGACCCGACCCGAACAAAATAAAGTTTCACCCGACCCGACCCGAATATATGAATTAGAAATCCGACCCGACCCGAAATAATAAAAAATATTTTTATTTAATAAAAACAGTGACTTAATTGAAAAAAATATATAGAGGGGTATTATTGTAATTATTCCTAAATATATAAGGTAAAATTATATATATTTTCGGGTCGGTCCGGTTTTTTTCACCCTAAACCCGAACCCGACCCGACCTGACCCGAATATCACACTTAAAAAAACCCGACCCGACCAAAATAAAGTTTCACCAGACCCGACCCGAATATATGAATTAGAAACCCGACCCGAAATAATAAAAAAATATTTTTATTCAATATATGAATAAGTTACCAAAAGATTGATGAGGGTAGTATAGTCAAATTTCAATTCCCTCCAACAAGGGAATTGAATTCCATCCATTTTTGGATGAAATTCACTTTCCCTCATTTGATGGAATTGAATTCCATCAGAGATTCCAATTCCCTTGAAAAACTTGAACCAAACATGGGAAAGTGGTGGAATTGGATTCCAATTCCCACCAATTCCAAGGGATTCCATCAAACCAAACGCCACCTAAGTCATTTTCCGTGATGCAGGCATATAGTGTACCATTGTACTCTATTCAAGAAAAAAATTGCCTAAAAGAATTTCACAAAATTATATCTCAATTTTTTTTATAAATTTGTAAAGGAATTATTGTTATTCCTTGATGTCACGGTTCAAGCATCAGGAATGTCAAGAATTCGAGTGTTCAATATCAAAAGGTTGAGAGTTATCTTTGAACAGATATTACCTTGTACTTAACTGAGATTAATAAAAAAAGAAAATATTTAACTATTTAACAATGAATGTTCATATTTTTGTATATACGGTGCTCAAACTTGGTACTAAGGAATAACAATAAATCTTTTAGCCCTTAAAATCATTTAGATAGATAGATAGAGAGATGAAATTTTAAAATTTTAAGGATACAAACTTAAATTATCAATAAAAACATGAAAAATTACTTATAAAAATTTAAAATTTTAAGTGGTGTGATCGCATCCTCCAACACCCCAGGGTCCATTACTGATTAGCACAAATTACTTGGTTCGATATTAAAAAAAGAAATTGATTTTTATCGAGTCATTAATGAATCAGTTGCAGTAATTTGAGCATTTAAGTGAGTATAATACTTCAATTGAATAGAGATTTTTTTATTAAACTAAAGTTAATTACAAAGTAGTATCTATTTTATATATTATCAACCATTTGATAATAAATATCTAATTACTCTTGCAGTCGTTGGTGTCCCGTGACGTTTAAGTTACAAACGAAATTTGATTAAACTAAAAGCATAACAACAATGAAAAAGATGGGCAATATAATAACATTAAGTCGAGATTCGAAGAATACTGATATGAATCTCAAATCAATCCCAAATTCATAAAATAGAATATTCAGGGAGGAGTTTATCTAACATTATCAATTACCAAATGAAACAATATTCATAGATATGATTAAAATAGAAAAATTAGGATGAGTTGCTACTTTATTTTCAAACACTAGTTTTTTTTTTTTACAAATAAAATTCGTTTATTTTTTTTAAAAAATGAAATATTTTATATTTAATAAATGTTTATAATCATAAACGCAAACTAAATATATAATTAGGATATTACTATATCCATTGATACAAAAATTCAGTCATTTAAGATCAAATAAGGATTATACAAGGAAAATATTAAAAATTCATCCATAAAAACTCGAACAAAAGATCGATACGAACAAATCTGATTGCATCGTCAAATGAACCATAACAAGATATCAATCTTTTTAAAGAGCATCGATAACCACAAACCAGAGTTAAATGTCGTGAGAAAATATCTTTGAACGCAAACCGCCTATCTAAATCTACTATGAAGTCTAAAGCATAGAAGATCAACATGATAACAAATAAACATCATATTGATCAGTCAACGTCATCAAATCCAACCATGATAAAATTAAATGAAAAGAACGACTAAAACGATCGAGAAAAAATCGAAAACATGCAAAAAAAATAGAGAAAAATGTGTCATGAAGGTAGAGGAAAGCATGTCATAAAGATAGAACCATTGAGAACTAAAAAGTAAAGGAAATGCATAGAGGCGATACAAAAAAATAAAGGAAAAATAAAGAACATCGACGATCAACGACCAACACTAATACCGTCGCCAGCCAATCAAAGAAGAAAAAAGAGGCGAGCCGTTGCACAAAGTTAATAGAAAACTTTTAGGGTTTGTATAGGTAGTTTTGCGGTATAATCTGACAATTTTCGATTGGACTTAAAATGTTATACTTTTTTATAATATTTTTTATTGAGCCTATTTCTGCCGTTTTTTAACCTTAAATTAAGTTATCTTTTTCTAGACTTTCTCGGGTTTGTATAATTCTTTTAGGAGATAGTAGTTTGTTTACGTTAAATGTGTAAATAATAAGAGTATAACTCTGAAAAGATAAAAGCCAGCTGAACTTCCCTTTTAGAGTCTTGGTTCATAGATATCATTCATTCAATAAAATTAGTCTGTTTAATTTCAAAACAAAAAGGAAAAAGTGAGATGTTTCTTCTTCAAAGTTGAACCTTCAATTTGTGTATTTACTTTCTCAATTCTCATTTTTCAAGTTGTATGGAGTGAAGAACACTCATCAAATTAAAGATTCGATTTTACCAACAGAACAAAACTTGAAACAACCAATTCATTGGTAAAGAGTCAAAGACAAGTAAAATTAAAATAACAATAGTTCAAAAGTGATTCTCAAACAAGGAACTAAGTGAAATACCAAGCATTTTGGCATATCTGAAGTAAACTGAACACCATCTACCTGCAATAATAGCCTATGGAAAAACCCACCATATATGGTCTTCATAAGTTGTCACTTCTGCGAGTTATGGCATGAGTATAGTCGGCCTTCCTAGAACAGGCTATTAACACAAAAACGAAATGCATGAGGAGATCCCAGACCCAGTTCGAAAGCCAAAATCGTTGCTTGTCCTCCATGAAAATAATATTGGTTTCATCTAGAAATCTTCGAATTCAAATCTCAAAGATAAGCCTGCTGAGATTAATGAGACTGGGAGAAAAGCAAATCTCATCAAGTGGCCATAACAGATCTCTTCTCATTTCAAGCCAATTGTAGTTGTTCTTTGAGATTTGAGCAACTTTCATTCATTTTGCGTATCCTCAACAGCTTTGTTGAATGAAGCAGCAAGGTACTCGGCAAGACTTTGTTGAGAGTTAAACTTGTTTGAAGAAGCCTCTGAAACTTTGCCTTCTTTGGGTCAATGGATTTCGGAAGCCATGAATTTGAAGTGCCCGGAGTACTCGAACTATCCCTTCCAGCTTCTTGTCTTTTCCATGGAATAGGTTCTAAATGCTGCCAAGGATCTTCCAACATGGATTGATCAAAGTAACTCTCTGGCCCTAATATCCTGTTTGATGCTGAGCTACGACCACGAAAACCTTGTCCTCGTCCGACACTCCTTCCTAAACCAGGAGTGCTGCTCCCAGTGTATCCACGACTCCTGCCTCTTCCTGGACTGAAATAAGCACTACCTCCAGATCCTTGATCAAGATTCAGCCTGTTACCAAACATTTGAGGCCTGGCTGTTCCATAGTTGAAACTAGGGCCATCTCCTAGAGAAAAGTAAGGGCCGGGCAAATTACCATAAGTTGATGTATTAGAAGGATTCCAGACCCTTTGAGAAGTTCTAGGATGCCTGGGAGGATTACTATACATTCCTCTCGGTGTTCCATCAGATACCAAGTTATAATGATCAGTGGCCTGTGATCCATTCCAAGCACCAGATTGGCCTGGATGCATGAGTGAAGGACTTCTTATTCTTGGGTTGTATGGACCATGGTTGTATACACCTTGAGCAGGTGAAAATTGGCTTTGCATCTGATGGACAGGCAAATCCCTATCGAAGTTCCTTGGTCCTGTCAAACCAGAATAGTAGGCCGATCAATTAGAAAAACAAAAAGGAATACCAACTCATGTTAATTGAAAAATTAGAGAAATTCCATACAACTAGTTTTAACTTTTAACCGATAACTCAATTCACAAATGTTCAGCTTAGTAGTAGCACAAATCAAATATTATTGCATGCATCAATAATAATATCGTGGTCGTGGTCGTGGTAGTGGTAATACGTGTCTTCGACACGTCCGCGCGGATACTATCTTTTTAGAGAAAATTCTTAAGAAACAAATGCAATACCACCAGTCGCATTGCGATTTTCAACTATCGCAATGCGAATCTGAAAATCGCATTGCGATTTTGGACTATCGCAATGCGAATCTGAAAATCGCGTTGCGATTTTATACTATCGCAATGCGAATCTTAAAACCGCGTTGTGATTTTCGACTATCGCAATACGAATCTGAAAATCGCACTGCGAATCTTAAAACCGCGTTGCGATTTTGGACTATCGCAATACGAATCTGGAAAATCGCAACGCGAAATGGGGCCATTTTGGAAACTGAGTTGCGAAGTTGGAGTTCGCGTTGCGATTTTGTTGGTCATTTTGGCAAATCCAAAAAAAGTTGATTAAAATCGTAAATTATAAGTCATTTTCGGTCACTGAGGTTATTTTCTCTTTTCTATTTTGCATGACGAGAAGAAAAGGGGTAACGACAATGTGCAAAGATTAACAATTAAATGTTCTTGGACTGCACTGACGGGCCAGGCCGAGCCCTCTACTTCTCTAAACCCATAGCTTATCCTAAATCAAATTGAATAAAGTATATAAATGATTTTCGACTATAACACTATTTTGTTGAGTCTCATGATTTTCGACTATAACACTATTTTATTGAGTCTCATGCTTCTAAAGATCAGCAATTGAAAATTCAGCGAGCATATACAGGCCGAGGGTCATTGGTTTTGATTGCTTTAGTTTTGCTCTTGCATTGAATCTTGAACGAGCTGAGAATTGAGGGAAAATATGTAAACAAGTTTGAACCGTTTATATAATCATGCTTACATGGATGATTTCATGTCACATTAGTTAGATGCTGATGATTTCAAAGCTTTCAATTCTTGATTAGATGGTCTTATATTAGTAAGATGAATGTTCTTCGATAATCTGCATCTTTAAGCATTTGATATCTTTGGTACCCTTTTCATGACAGTTCAGCTTGATGAATGAAGTCAGATGAGTTTCTGATCATGGTGTTATTTCAGTATGTGATACTGTTTTTTTTTTAATTAGTGAAAACTGGATAGAGATCGGAACGATGATGGAAAACAAAAGGAGCCCTTGCTCTGTTGATCATACCAGTTTCACTTCTTTGGCATCGAAACGACAGAAGTCCGACTTATCGATCCCCACCAAGGTATTTAGCCTTCTTTACTCAAATTTATGTCTCCTCTTAGGAATATATATTCTTCTATAGTCATTTCATAGTTATACTAAAGGAATCCCTCACCCTTTTTCGAAGGAAGATGCCTAATTTATATCCGCATGGCATAAACTACATTCTCTTGACTTATTTTAGGGGTTATATTCTCGAATATGGTCACGATTGCGTCTTCTGCTATTATTATTTTATCTGCAATGTCAAATTGGTTTCTAGCAATGCAGAGTTTCATCTCTTCATTTCTTCTTTCTGCATACTAATTACTAAGTTGGATATGGTTTGTTTGTAGCTAATAGAATCCTAATTTACTCCTTTTTCGCAATAGGATAAGAAAGATAAGGTCGGGGAACGAATTGTGACTCTGCAGCAGCTTGTTTCGCCATACGGAAAGGTACATTGATATTTTGTGCATCCATTATTATGGACATAATTAGTGTGGCAAAATGAATTTTGGGCATCCACTGGAGTTTTTGCCTACAAACATCCTGCATTGTGACTCTCTAGTTGATGGACTCCAAAGGGAAACCTTATCATCCCTTCGTAAACACACCAATCCATTATTAGGTTTTATTTCTTTCCATATTTACGACCTTTTAATCCTTATATACATGTTTGAGCATTTCAATAATTTGGATATGCATGTGTGTGCATGTATTTATGCATGTATTTGTGTGTTTTGATTGTGAAGTGATCTGTGTCATTTCTTGGTGCAGCTGATACGGACCAACATACAGATTGCAATGATAAATCCGGCATTAATAACGATCAATTGCTTTCGAGTTCAGAGATGAAAATAATTCCTTGGAGCAAGTACTTAGGAAGATTGAAATTGTGCATGCTAAGGTTCAGAAACTCAGGAATCTTCTCGATCAAGTTATGTCGAAAAATGTCTCGAAGTTTTCTTCCTCTGAGAACTTAAGCTTCCTTGCTGCTTGTGATGCTCAAACCAGCTCCGCCCCTAGCCCTACGTTGTCAGCTGGCAACGGAGACACAATATCTGCCAGACCTGCATTTAACACAACTCAACAAATTTGCGAATATGCTGGAGATATGGTTATGCCTGCAAGTGCCATTTCAAGTTATGGAGAGGCTTTCCATGTTCCTGATATAATCGAAAGCACTGTTGGATTATTGTCGTCTGCTGAAGTTTACCTGCCACCAGCCACCACTTGTAGACTCGTGCGAAGATGTAAGCCCTTTGAACATACAGAACTACATGTGTATTTTGGCTGATGTTTTACCAGATAAGATAACGCCATCGATTTTTATTTTGAACTGAAAGTAAGCTTAACTGATCTGCATTTTCTTTCCCCTAGATATATGATAATTCATTGCAAAGATTTCCGGAGGCATAGGTTAAAACACTGAAAAACGAAAACAATCTAGCAAGTCTGGGTCTCGTATCCCAGCATCGGTTATTTCCTCTGCTATCCGCAGGCTTCAACCTCCTTTGCACAAGAAAAGACTGTTATCTGTTTGACATGTTTTTTTTCGGCTTCTCATGCATGAACTACTCTCGATTTAGTTATAGCAAATGATAGTCTGTTCATTATGATACCTGATGGCATTTGCAGATTGTGGAAAATGTTCCGATACAGAATGAAGGAAATGCCGGAGATAAACAAGCTTTAATGGCAATAAACAGTCGATCTATGAAGCAACATCATCAAACCGAGAAAGTAGAAGGAGAGAGCTCCCACCCTTCTCGTATTGCAACATCAGAGCCTAATAACGCAACAAAAAACGTTGTCTCAGGAGCAATCAATTCTGAGATCATGTCTAGCTTCAGACATATGTTTCAGTAAAAGAAAACGAGGGGAATGTAAAGCCGGCTCAGTTGGTTGGAGCAGGAAACCTGCAGGTGAGCCTGATAATAGCCAATGACTTCATTTCTGATGGTCCACTAAGTTTAGCAGCCTCTATATTGCTAACAAATCAAAGCACAGAGGCACTCAGTAGGCACCATAACTGGAACTCCTTCGATTTTTTGGGAGCCACTATGTTGTAGTTTCTGATAAACTGGCATCAAACAACAGTTTTCATGGGGCCAAAAAACTAACCTACAGCTCCATGATCATGATTTGCTGGCACAGTAAGCTACCCCTCCGTCCAAATGAGTTCAACAACTTATCATAGTGGAAAAGCAATGTAAGCCTCAAATTTTGGCTATGATCATCTATGTTACTTAGATTAGGGTGGGAGTGTCGGATACGAGTATGTGTCTAATACAAGTACGTTCGATTTTTCCCCTTTTTTGTTAGAGTTTTTCCCATTGTGGACAATTATGATAATATTGTCCCAAAAGTTGTGAGAATTATGTTGAAGCAGAAACAAGAGCAGGAGACTGTAGTTGTGCATGCTGATAAGGATGGGAGCCATAATTCACACACTTTGAAGAGTGTCAGCAATTGAACATGTTGCCACTTCAACACCTTTGTTTTACTGATTTCTGTTTGCAAAGTCATACAAAATATGGTAGAAAAAGCAAAAGGTGACTGCAAATCTGACTTGTATTCCTTTGACCCTGTAAAACAATGTTTGTCAGTCTATGGAAAGATCATATCATATGATATCCCCTATTCAATAAAATCAAAACAACTTCCCATTTTATGTTCAACTCTTTTATGCGTATGTAAATATATTGTTTGAAACGGCACAAATCAACTTATCTCAGTGGTTAAATGAATCGTTGTTGTTCTTAGAGATTATGAATTCGATCACCAGTGATTAAATTGAATTCTATTTTATTTTTTATTAATCTGACGTAAGTACAAGACAGTATCTGTTCAAAGATAATTCTCAACCTTTCGATATTAAACACTCACACATCTAGCATTTGTGGTGTGTGGACCCGAGTTTGTGATATTACACCACCCACGTTCTAACATTTTTTTAATTAATTATTTATATTTAATCTATTGATTTATTAATTCAGATTAGATGTTATATAAGTTTATTTTAAGAGTGATATTTCGAATGCAATTTGTTTAATTTATAACGCTAATATTTAAATCTATGATCTATTAATATTTTCTTTTATAAAATTAGAGCAATCAATCATCGATAAATATATAATATAAAAAATAAATTGTACTAGCTGCCAAAACAGAGCCCACCATTTTGGTGGATTTTAGCTTTTAGGCATATAAAATTCATCTAGTTTTAGGTAGGGCTCATACTTTAACGATATTACAGAGGTTAAATAATAAATAATTGATTAAAATATATTTTAAATCCCTATACCCTTCATACATTTAGAATTTGATCCCCTTACTTTTGTTTTCAAAATTGTATTCCTCTATTTGTTTTTGGATTTAATTGTTAAATTCAGATATATTACATTTTCTGTTAAATGAATGCTGAGCTGGTATTTTTTATTTTAAAATATCACATCAACAAATTCAAAAAAGAAAATTCAGTTTTAATAATTAGATTGGATCTTTAAATATGAAAAATTAAAGGAAGTGTTTGAAAAAAATAAAAATGAAAGGATTAAATTGTAAATGCATGAAGAGTAATGTATTTCAACTTAAAGTATTCCATAAAAGATTGCCATGGAAAGGTTAATCATGATTTATTCATCTTTATAGTCTGTAAACATAATTGCCTTTGCCGTCCCTTAGCTTATCATTAGATTGCAAATATTGGTTTATCGTTCACGTATTTTATAATTAAATATAAATTATTATAACTCTACCTATTTTTATTTTTATTTTGTCAGCGATGACATCAGTCTAGATCGCTTTATTTTGTTCTTGTGGTACGTTTCTTTTACCTTACAACACGTTGTTTTCCTACCTCTCTAATAGATTTGCAATTGTCGTTTGTATATGATTTGTGATTGTCAATGACCTTTCAGTAGTTAGATTCTCTTTTGTGATTGTTTATCGATGTATTCAGATCTATTTTGCGAAGCATTTACTTTGATTCGTTCGTTACTCCATCATTTGTAAAACATTTAGTTTGATTGAGACAAATGAGTACTATTGACGATCACTATGTTACTATGAACGATGAATGTCAGATTCAAAAGAATACTTCGACTGTTATTATGTCTTTGAGTTTTCTTTTTTATTTTATTTTATGTTTGAGTTTTTTGGTGGGCATAGTTAGGCATGTAAACGAACCGAACACACACGAACGGAGGTATGTTCATGTTCGTTCATTTAATAAATAAACGAACATAAACGAACATGAATATAAACGAACAAAATTTTTTTTTGTTCATGTTCGTTCATTAAGGAATATAACTTGTTCATGTTCGTTCATTTAATAAATGAACGAACATAAATGAACGAACATAAACGAACATATAATCGAACGTTCACGAACGTAAATGAACGAACGAGCCCTTTGTTCATGTTCGTTCATTTAATTAAACGAACGTAAATCTTGTTCATGTTCGTTCATTTAATAAATAAACGCACATAAACGAACTTCCCACCGCACGGTTCATGAACGGTTCGCTAAACGTTCAGTTCATTTACATGCCTAGGCATAGTCCCTAAAATTCTCTCTTTAATCAGTCACATTATTAAGGCTGTATCTTCTTTTGTTTTAATAAAATTCAATATGGTTTCAAGATTTAAAAGAAAATATATAAATTATTATTAGAAACATTGGAGATATTATTTTTGGGAAGTTCTACCGTAGGGCGACCTTAATATACGGTAAGGAAATGCGCTATCGGTTTTGTTATTATTTTTTTTAACAAAATCTATAAAAACAATTACCTAAAACATTATTGTTTCTACCTAAAACATTAATGTTTTTTAACATTTTCGGTAAAATGCCCAATAATAACAAAACCGGTAGAAAAAAAATAACAAAACCGATAACACTTTACCGGATATGTTAACAAAACTGGTAAAGTGCCCAATAATAACAAAACCAGTAGAAATAATAATGTTTCTGATAATTTTTTATCGATTTTGTTAAAAAAATAATAACAAAAATAATAACTTTTCTTAGCCATATATTAATATTGTCGCACGTGAAACTTTTCAATTATTTTTATTTTATGGGAGTTTAAAAATTGTAATATATTTTATTTATTAAAACAACTTTTTGATTTAGCCCAAACTGTTCCGTAGATTCCCACGCGTTACACACCCATTCGCCGCTTTGTTCTCAAACAGTTCTCACCCGCTGGGCGAGACAAGCTACCTTTAGCTAGTAGCCTTTTTTCCTTCCTCTTAGCTCCTCGAAAACAACGTTTGACTTGCATGTGTTAAGCATATAGCTAGCGTTCCTTCAGAGTCAGAATCAAACTCTTTTTTTGAGTATGATAGAGCCTTTCAGTGATAGAACCTGGTGAATCGGCGGGCGTATTACTTTTCAAACTTATGTGGACCTTTTTTCTTTAACGGTTTTTTCTACTTTCTTTAGAAAAATGACTAGTTGCTCAACTAATCCACTTGTGGTGCTATTGGTATAATAGTAATGTATGTATATCAAAAAATATGCTCGAAAGTCGGTTACATATAGGGAATTACTAGCACCCTCACAACATTTTAAAATCGGTACCTAATCGATTAATTGTTATCTTTACAATCAGTACAAAATTCAAGATCTGACGACTCAATCTATTTAGCTTGTTGACCTACGAATAGTCATAATGATCGTATGTCTAACACCGTCAACTAGAGTCATTATAAATACCTCTCAACTATAACTAGAAGTTGGTGTTCTCCACAATCATCTTCACAGACTCCCATCCCTTCAATTCTCTCACAGAAAAATACCAACCAACAGTTATACTTTTACTAAATGCGACCTCCGTCTAAATCAAAAGAAGTGAACAGTCAACGACGGACGAGATAAACTTATTCTCATTTATAATTATATTTATATTAAAAATTTATTTATAATAATAATTTAAATAAAGTTATATTTTTCATCCATTAAATGAACATATAAATTAAGTCACCCAACTACCGAAATGAAATATGATCGTGCATGATTATTGTAAGAATGGGAAGCCAATGCCAAGCATGTGTTCAACTTCAACGACATTAATTACCCCAAACAATACCACTTGCTATAATTATAAAAACCTTTGGAGAGAACATGATTATAGCATCATGTAGCCTCTGCCTGTTCAAAATGATCTTCAACAATGACTTTAGGATACATCTCAAGTTCATGTTAACTTAGGATCTGCATTAAATTCTTTTCCTCCCTAGCTACTATAAACCAACGCAACAATAATATTCCAATATATAAATTAAAATTAAAATATATAAATAATAAAAAGAATTCCTAATTAAAGATTTCATTATTATACTTATACCTATAAGTAATAATATTCAATGACCGATGTATGATTTTATGTTAGGGAATACCAAATTATACTTATACTTATTTGAAGAATAAAACATCAAATTATTCGAGACGATATTTTCTTAAAAGCCAAATTTATATAATCATGAATATTGAACGAATACCTATAAGTTCACGACGGTATTCGATTTTTCCGGCGAATTTTATATATTCCGAGGGTCATTGGTTTTGATTGCTTTAGTTTTGCTCTTGCATTGAATCTTGAACGAGCTGAGAATTGAGGGAAAATATGTAAACAAGTTTGAACCGTTTATATAATCATGCTTACATGGATGATTTCATGTCACATTAGTTAGATGCTGATGATTTCAAAGCTTTCAATTCTTGATTAGATGGTCTTATATTAGTAAGATGAATGTTCTTCGATAATCTGCATCTTTAAGCATTTGATATCTTTGGTACCCTTTTCATGACAGTTCAGCTTGATGAATGAAGTCAGATGAGTTTCTGATCATGGTGTTATTTCAGTATGTGATACTGTTTTTTTTTTAATTAGTGAAAACTGGATAGAGATCGGAACGATGATGGAAAACAAAAGGAGCCCTTGCTCTGTTGATCATACCAGTTTCACTTCTTTGGCATCGAAACGACAGAAGTCCGACTTATCGATCCCCACCAAGGTATTTAGCCTTCTTTACTCAAATTTATGTCTCCTCTTAGGAATATATATTCTTCTATAGTCATTTCATAGTTATACTAAAGGAATCCCTCACCCTTTTTCGAAGGAAGATGCCTAATTTATATCCGCATGGCATAAACTACATTCTCTCGACTTATTTTAGGGGTTATATTCTCGAATATGGTCACGATTGCGTCTTCTGCTATTATTATTTTATCTGCAATGTCAAATTGGTTTCTAGCAATGCAGAGTTTCATCTCTTCATTTCTTCTTTCTGCATACTAATTATTTTAACAGATACAGCTTCTGTTCTCTTGGAAGCAATGGAATACATACGGTTTCTTCACGAACAAGTTAAGGTCGGTTTTTCTTGTCCGTTTTACCTAAATTATCATAGCATGCGTATTAGTTGGTGTTAGTTGCAATTTCTAAATGCATGCTTCTAAAGATCAGCAATTGAAAATTCAGTGAACATATACAGCCTATTAATGGCTTATGATTTACCAGTTGCAGTTATGATTTTAATTATCGTTGTAACATTATTAATGGCTATGACCTTGGTCAGGTTTTGAGTGCTCCGTATCTTCAAACCGGGCCGATAAATAACATGCAAGCGGAACCAGGTACACAAAGAAATTAGGATATGTAAACATAAAGCCCTATTTACTTCTCATGCTCAACCATTTGTCATCATTTATGTTGAAACACAATGGAACCATGAATTTAGGGAGCCATCATTGGAAAATTATGGTCGGATTTTAAATCGGTTTTTCTTCCAGGATGTAGAGCATTATAGCCTGAGAAGGCAAGGACTATGCCTCGTTCCAATATCGTATACCGCCGGAGTTGCTCGTAGCAACGGTGCCGATATTTGGGCTCCCATCAAGACCACATCGCCAAAATTCGACAAGGCTATCTCACCATTCAATTGACATTTTCATCGGCTACCGATAGTCTTTGAACATCACTTGAATGGAGTTTAAAAGGTAACCAACTTAATATCGGATGTACAAAATTTCCTAATGCACTAATACAGGATGTTTGTAGGCAAAAACTATTAGGCCTTGATCCGTAGGATTCTGGTATCGAAAAATGCAGTCCGACACCTTCGTCGTTTTAATTCGGTGCTCGGATTAAGCTGCATTTAATCAATTCGATTATAGAAGTTAATTATCGTCTAATTTGATACGATAAATTTATTATAAAAGCCTTTATTATTTTTAGAAAATACTTTATAAAAGTAGGTCTCCTAATCTAGGGTTGATTAAGATTAAATTAACATAAGAAAGTATATGTCACTATCAACATTATTTTTCTTTTACTTCCTATTCTTTGAGGTTAATGTTTTTTTTTTCATTAGTGCATGCTGATGAAGATACACTAGGAAAATTAATTAAAACTATCAAGGAATGGGTTTGATTTAAATCGATATATTATTTTATTATTTATTGTTTTTATAATTTAAACACTTATATTTTTAAAGTTAATTTATTATTTATTACAAACATCATAAGTTTGAAGGTTTACTACAACCTTTATTTAAAGTTTTTATATGGGAAAAACTACAAAATCTGTCAACAATTTGCAGGGACCTGTAGTTTTACCATTTTTAAATGGCAATCGATGTGGGCAGTTTTGAATCTTTGTAATCATTTGGGAAGACAAAGTCGGTCGAGCGTAACACAAACGAATCTCCCACAGTTGCAGTCCTCCAGTTTTGTTTCTGTTACAAGCAATTTCAGGTGATGCTTTTGTATGGCTCTGAATTATTTTTATAACATCTTGAACCATATAACGGTTTCCTGGTGTAAGTCCCGTAGCTGAATCAAAATAAGTTAGAAATTGTGTTAGGAAGATGAATTATCAACTATTTAATCTTAAAAATTGTTGTATATAATAATAATAATAATATGATAGTGAAACCCATAGATAATACATCATTCCAACTTTTCAACCATCTTATACATAAACTCAATAACAGAAGATATAAAAGCAAGTACAAAGGAAACATACTCACCTGGATTTGTTAAGCCTTGTCTAAGCGTTAAGGCAGATTTGAAGTAATCAAGAGGATTATTAGGGTAATCAGAACATGTTCCATGCTTTAACCATTCAGTCTCCCAAAAGCCAGTACCCGGTTTAGTAGGGTTCTTCAGGTCCGGCCATAATGATATTAAGTTGCTTTCAATTGGAGTAAATGCAGTAGTCTAAATTAGAGAAATAAACGTTAGATCATAATATAAATTTAAATACAAATAAAAAAAGTAAATTAAAAAGTTGATGAGATGCTTACCTCAAGAACTAGTGGGTCAGTAATGGGTGCCTGGGAGTAACAGGGATTAGTGGCTGCGTTGTAAGGGGGAATCGGAACGTCGTTGGCATCTTGAGGCCATATACCGTGGATGGTTAAGACAGTCGGGATGGGAGTACCACAAGCCATGCTGCCGGAATTACACACAGCAAGAGGCCATTGGAGACTGAGTTTATAAAAATGTATGGGGGTTGAGCTGTAACTAGAACCAAGAAACAAATCACCAAAACAACCACCAACTTATAATTCAACAACATTGTTACAATCAATACTCTCACAATCAACATTCACTATGTGTATAATATTTACAATGGTTAGTCCTTTTTATATTGCAAATGTAGCATCAAACTTGTTTCTGTTTCAGTTTCTATTTCAGTCTGTTATATTGAAAATGTGTTTCTGTTTCAGTTTGTTTTAAGTGGGATACACCTGTGTTTCAGTTTATTCAGTCTGATTGTAGTGGTGGCACACACATGGTTTCTGTTCGGAAGTTAGGCATCAATAATTTACAGCCCTTAAAACCCAAACATCAAATGTAATTTAATAAAATATAAGATTTAATTATCCATGTTATGCAGTTTGGCAGCAGCTGTGATTAATCACGCATTTGTAAACCATTGGATCAAATTAAAGTACATTTACAAGAACCAAATATTACAAAACTAAAAACCCATTTACAAATCTAAACCCAAACATATGCATAACATGCAAGAAGATTCGAAGAAGGGATGAATTTTGGAGAGCAAGAAAAAACGAAAAGAGAAATGCAACCCAATCACTATCTTCGGACAAGGGAGAAAAATCGACAGGAGAAACACCATTTTCGAACATGTTATTTATTCTGTATTTTATTTCAGTCCCTTGTATATGGCTTCATAGTGCCGGATTTCAGCCGGTTGAACTAACTGAGTTGCTGGAGCTGCTAACACAGCCAAACAATCCAGTGTCATGCTATAAATTCAATATAACATAACATTAAGACATTGCACGTGTATTACGGGTACAATATTGTATGTTGTTCTACATTCGAGATGGAATTCGGAAACATATGAGGAGATAAACAGTGAGAGTGGAAGAACAATGCATGAATACTGCAGAAGAATGGTGTAATTTCTTTTCAGTGGACTAAGCTCCATCTCTTCAATAGTATTTCACGGGAAAGTGAAAATAATTAAAGTCTTTAAAACCCCATCAACCCTTCAACTAGATTCTCTTCAAAGTAATTAGTAACAAATCTTAAACCTTTGAAGTCATCAGTTTGAGAATATGATCCTATAAGGACCCTCCAACGACATGAAAAAACTATCAAAATACTCATATTCGGCACTCACATCCAAGCAAAAACAACCTAAAACAAGACCTATGCAAGACTGCAATCCATTTACCTCTAAAACAAATAACTAAGGTCAAGAATGAAAATCATCACACAAAAAGTCTTGAATTCCAACTCTTAAATTGGAAAAACAAACATGCAAAACCAAGCTAACTCTTTATAAGCACAAACAGAAGCTCATGTGAATTATCATATATATGCAGAAAAAAGACAACAATTTCCATAAATATTCCACAAACGGAACGCTTTCAAGAAAGTAGTACTACCCCATTTACCCCTGCAAATACCTTAACAATGGCTTCACACAAAACAAGACCAAACCATTGACACTGTTTCATTGGATCTAAAGTACATATAATAATAATAGTTCCTATGTTCAACTTCAAATTACATTCAACTATTGGGGACGTTGAGCTCTCAGAAGCAAATTCAAGTTCGAAGAGCACTCCGTGTGTGGCATATATATGCACCTGCAATCATGATATGCAGGTCAATAGAACTGAAGATCAGAGTTAAAACCTAAGAAAATCTGTAGGACGTAATTTCGTGCATCCACTAAAACAACCAAAAGCAAACAGAAACCTAAACAAGTCAATATCTAGGGCATGTATATACAATTCAAACAATAACAACAATACTTGAGAACATCACTGGACAATATAGTTGACATAAAGTGCATAGGAAGAGACCAAATCCCATTAAATCTTACCTCTTTTGTTGCAGCTCCCCATCCATCTTAGTGTTCAACATCAATTTGTTTCACCTCCGACTGGCCGTCGTATTATACATTCCTCATGCTCTGATCTTCCATTCAATGGAACCAAGCTCTCAACATAAGCAACAATGTGCATTGTTTCCTTATAAGCGTGAATACCAAGCTTTCTAAGCTCTTGTATGGACGGATCAAATAAAACTAGTTCTTGATCCGAGCTCTCGAGAAACAACTCGCCATTTTTCCAAAACCCCAAAGGCCTCTCAACTCCAACAACAGATTCAACACTGAATTGTTTAGTCCATGACCCATTCATAACCCATAAATCAAAAGACTTGTCAGTTACTTCCCTTGGGTAAAAAAGAGCACCAAGCAATCCATTGAAGTCCAAAAGTTCCAAATAATATTGTTCTAAACTCCCACCAAATTCAGGCAGTGGTGAAGTTGAAAACTTTTCATTAACCATATCAAACGAAAGAATATGGTGATCAACTGCAATTGCCTCGCAATAAATAAACCCATTGACATAATTATTAAAAAAAATAGAAGCAAAAGCATAAACCCCAGGAAATGAAATTTCCTTCCATGAATCACTTTTAAGCGAATATAACTCAACTTGTCTGGTCCAATCTGCCAACAACCCATCATCTAGATTCTCTTCAAAGTAATTAGTAACAAATCTTATACATTTGAAGTCATCGGTTTGAGAATCATACCCAAAACCAAGGAAATTAAAACTAGAGAAATCCAGTAGTCCAGGAGGGCGCTGGACTGTTGATTGAGGAAGGATTTTAAACTCTCTGGTAGATGGGTTCCAAAGGGTAACATTCTGACCAGTACTACCTCGTTCTGATAAACACAATATTCCATTACAAGGGCCATGAACGAAAGGTCCATCCACAAAATTCTCAAAAAAGGGTAAGTGAATATTGTGTTTTACTCTAAAGTTTTGGTCTTTCTCGGTCGAAAGTTGAGAGAAATAATGGATGTCATCAGGGGTGCCACCATGACAACGTTTGAGGAGGAGATTAAGGTTATTGTTTTTGAGGTTGTTCTGATGATGTTTGTTAATGAAATGAGGGGTTTCAAAAGATGAAGACCAGGGCTTACAAACGCACCTGAAACGGGTCAAGGATTTAACAGGAAGCTTTGAGAGAATCTCCAACACCAACATCTCTGGTAATTCGGTTCTAGTTTTGATCAACTCTTGCATCTTCCCTCTTTATCTTCTCTATTTCCTTTGTGTTTTTCAATAGATGATTTTGTTTGGGGGAAAGAAGATGAGAACTAAAACGAAAGAAAACCAAGACAGACAAAACTTATAACAGGTAACGTCAAACGTTTTTCTGTAACAAGAAAACTTCAATACAAACTGATCATTGGTTATACTATTTTGATGGGCCCTTTTAAAACCCATTAGCTTAGACAGGGTTTGTACAATATTAATAATATTTTAAAATAAATAAAATAATATATTTAATAATAATAATATATCTATAATCATTTATTATATTTTAAATGATTAAAATAATCGATTTTATAATAATTTACTACATTTTTTACTATTAAATAATATATTTTAACATTATAAAAATAAAAAAAAACCTCTAAAACTTTAAATATATTATAAATATAAATGAGTAAATTAACAATTTATATAAGGTCGGGTTGGATTAGTGATTTTTTTACCTAAAATATAGTCTCATCCCAACTTGAATCTATATATTATATAACTCGTCATGCCCGAACTCGAAATTTCAATAAACAAATACTGTTTTTTTCGTAACAAGAAAATAATCATAGGTGACACTACATTGACGGGTCTGGCCGAGCCTTTGGTAACTTCTAAAATTCATGAGCTTAACATAGGTAGGGTTGGCACAATATCATTCCCTAAACAGTTGAAATATCAAATATTATTATGAATTTTATTAAGGGTAAATTATACAAGTGATATCTTAAGTTTTTTATCCGTTAGTTTTTTGTCACCGGTTTAAAAAGTTTTTAGTTTTGGTCACTTTCATCTTTGGTCCTTATTGTTGGTAAAAATGGTTAAATTTTAATTTGACCTCTGAATTTAGACAAAATATTAATTTGACCTTAAACTTTACATAAAATACTAATATAACTCTTAAACTCTATATAAAATATGAATTAACCCGTAAATTCAGTCAAAGTTAACGTCTCTACTCGCCACTCATCGTCGTCATCGCCCATCGTCAGTTTTCATCACCAGTCATCGTCGTCGATTGTCATGTCAACACACGTCGCCCATCTTCATCTTCATCTTCATCGTCGTCTGTTCATCTTAACCCCTAAATTCACACTTTTTTGAATCAATTTAAATGTCTAGTGTTATTATTTAGGTGTCTCATTCCTCTTAGTCGTTAAAAATTTCATTACTAATATTTGTCGCTTTTTTAATATTTTTAAATTTGTATTTAAAATAAAATAAAAACTTAAAATTATATTTTTTTAATTAAAAAAACTTAAAAATTCTAATACTTTGAAAACTCTAATTCAAGTAGTCGGTGAGAATTTTGAGAAGGTTTGTCAGTGAAGTAGGGTGTGAAAGTCAAAGTACAACAATGGCATTAATGCAGAGTTTGAACTTTTTGTTAATTCTAATAGGTCAAAGTTTTCTCACTCCGTTGTACTACCACACATGGTGCATGTTCCTAACGGCATTTTGTTAATTCGGCCACAATTTTCTTTAACAAATTCTAAATGTAATTCTAATAGTATCAAAAAGAGAGGGAAAAATTTTAGTGAATAATAGAATGGTTCTAGTGAGTTTAAAACTCATGATCGGTCAAATATGTTTGTTCTAATTTAGCCATAATTAACTTAAGGGTGCAAGGCGAGTCAGTTTGGATTAATCAAGGCAATGCTTTAAAATTGGGAAGACAATCAAAAAATATATGTTTTTTAGAGTAAATACTCATATATTAAAAAAATATCTTCAAGATAGATATAAATTAAATTTTATGATATATATAATTTATAAAATAAATAATTAATTAGAAATTTTGAATTTCAAAATGTGCAATTACCCTGAATATATATTAGTATATATTAAATTAAAGCTCTTTATTTAATCTTATTGTTCTCATCTTCTATAATTAATTATATATTATATCCTCATATTTTATGAGTATTTATACTTTATCTCCTTAAATTAAAATCATAATTCCGTCCTCATAAACGTGGTTCTACCGCTGTTACTTCTTATATATATTCAACGAATTTTAATAACATTTACATATATATATTCAATGAGTTTTAAAATAGTGGACATAAATCCCGTGAATCTTACAATGATCCTATCATAAACTCGTTCATATATAAAAATTATGTTCAATGTTACAAATATATTAGGGACACATGTCAACATTCTTATACGCATCTTTTACTAGTAGCAGATATCTTAATAATACATATATTCAAAGACGGAATCAGAATATTAACTCAAGAGAGACATAAAATAGTTAAATATAAAAAAATAAGAAAAAAATCTAGATAAATTAAAAATTGAAATATCTAAATAAATATGTATTCATATATATTTTTCAATAATAACAAATTGAGAGTAATGCCCCGGTACGATGCATAGCTTCATCCCTACATATATTTGTCTCAGTAATTTTACATTAATTTTATTCCAAAATATTCATTTTCTAAAAGTATTCATATATTTCAAATATCAAAGGGTTAAAATAAGTAGCAACGTTTAAGGGATATTATTCAATAAATATGAACATTAACGTTGTCATTTGCCTATTGCATTGAGAAACTGCATTACAATAACCATTCTCTGTTACTTTCGCTTTCGTGGAAACCTTTTTAAGTTACATTATAAATCTATATCTTGGGAAAAAAAACTCTGGCAACGATGAGTTATCGGTCTCACCTCTGGCAATATGTGACTCTATATTCGAACGGGCAACATCTAACATTGTCTCGATCTCTTTCTTGTACTGCACAAAGATGGTAAAAATACTAAAGTCAACCTCTTCAAATTTTAAGGCTAATACGAAAGCAGGGAGAAAAAAAGGTTTTCAAAGTATGGGATTCGTCGATATGATCGGTGAAGACCATGGTTCAGCTATAGCAATACCTCTTCGACAGCGCCTGACTTAATTTTCGATTGCATCACACACCTTTTCTTAAAATGTGCACCTACAAAAAATTGAAACATCAATTAGTTCAATTCATTGATGTCGAGGAAAAGAAAAGACATGTTTTCAAACTCAGAAACTGCTTGAAGATGTTCATTACTTTCATTATAGACTGATGCATGCATTAAGAGCTAATATCATGTCGGTATAACTTGTAACGAGAGACACAAATCTCTGGAAGGCCATATCTCAACAAGAGTTCGATTAGATGCAAAACTAAAGCCAACGCAAAAATGTCTAAAGATGTCCCCAAGGGGACACACCCCAGCCACAAGAACTTAAAGAGTCCAACTTGGAAGTCTCAGATTGAACTATGTGAAAGTAGCGAGTTGGATTTAGCAGAATGCTGGAGGGCTACGTTCATTGTATGCCAATGGTAGTTTCGTACCATAATCTACATATGTATGGTCAACTTGGAAGTCTCAGATTGAACTATGTGAAAGTAGCGAGTTGGATTTAGCAGAATGCCGGAGGGCTACGGCCATTGTATGGCCATTGGTAGTTTGGTACCATAATCTCCATATGTACCATTAGGGCTGTAAATGAGACGAGATAGATCGCGAGCTACTCGAGATCGACTCGATCAAGGCTCGATAAATACTCGGATCGAATGGACTCGACAGAAGCTCGAGCTCGACTCGAGTTCTTAACGAGCCGAAACGAGCTATTCGATATTCGACTCGAAAAGTTCGTGAGCAACGCGAAAATATAATATATTAAGATTTTATTTTTTTTTAAATAAATTATTAATAATATTAATATTTATGCATCGATTTTTTTAAAAATACAGTAAGATTTTCATGTATTTAAGGTTCATGTTCGAGTTTGAGTTTGAGACTTCAATCGAGTTAAGTTTAAGAATTTTTTTTTCATTTCGAGCCTTTTTGAGCTGCTCACGAGCTTCAGTTCAGGATTTCGAATTCGAGTCGAGCTTGAAAATTTTAAGCTCGCGAGTTTTCAAGTCGAGTCAAGCTCCATTTCAGAGTTTTCGAGTCGAGTCGAGCTCAACAATACTCGAGCTCGACTCGGCTCGTTTACACCCTTATGTACCATAATAAATGTCACTTTAAAGGGAACAAAACTCACCTGCTTTGATATCTAAAGTAGATGAATTTTCACCATTGGTCTCTGCAATCCATTGACAATGTACCTGATGCAGCACAAATAAAATAGTGTCCATTTTAATGTTGAAACTAAAACATATATAATAGAACAGAAACAAGAAAACATCAGACACACACAAACACGAATATATAAGTTGATAGTTCTTCCAAGAGGTTAAACTGTTACTCATACAAAGTTGATAAGATGTCACTCATATATTTGGTCTAATCTTATATTGAACATAAATCACTATTCCTGTTGCCAGTTGGCAAGTGACCAGTTAATCTGCAAGATGGTCTGATCGTAACTGACAGGTATGGTCATTCATTTTAAATATCTAACACTAGAAAATTTTCCTTTGACTCACCTTTAACTCCCCACTTTATATCCGATGGGGAATTAACAGGAAAGGCTAGAAGATGGTGGTTATAGGTTATAATTAATACCAGTAAGAGTGAAGAAAGTTTACAAGCAATTTCATGTGAAGCCAGCGAGTGAACTTTTCTTTTTGGAAGCAAGTAAATTAATGTGTCAGTTCCAAAGGGATTTTTCCTACTCCGACAGTTTGAACAGAAACTTCCCTCTTGATTGGACTTAGGTGAAGATAAATGCATGATCAATAGCAGTGAGGATGATATGCAAGAAAGTTTATGAACAAACACATGAAAAGCCAGCAAGTGAACTGGTGTGTCAAAAGGACAGTTCCTTTTGCAATAATGAGTCTTACAATTCCCCTCTTGATTGGACTTAGGTTATGATAAGTTTTTGGCCGTGCATTATGGAGCAGATTAAATATTAATCATCTGTAATACTAATGTTAGTTGTAGACACACTTCCTATTTTGTAGTATATACAAAAATTGCATCCAATAGTAGCAATGCTTTCACTAAAAGGGTTGATTTATTCTGTTTCTATGGATCAAAGTTCAGTTTATTTTCCTCAAAGAATACAACACAAATAGAGGAGGATTTTTTTGTAACAATCCTTGGTTATCTTTTATTTATTTGTTTGTTTTGGGATCAAAGTTTGAATTATTTATTCATTGGAGTGAGGAACAAAATCAGACCGGAAAATAATAAGAAGGGGAATATTGCTTGCACAGGCAACAGTGAGACTGCAAGGACCTTGCACAAAACAAAAATGTGGGGTATAAAACTATATTCCAAATCAAGAATAAAGATACCCAGCTAATACTTGCTTCAAAGTAGGTGCCAAACTGAACATCATGTGCCTGTTGTACAGTTTCAAAAACCTACGAGAAGAGAGAAATTGAGTAAATTCAATTAAATCAACCAAACATAGAATCTACAATAAAGATGCAAATGATGTTTTTTTTTCACTAAACATAGAATCAGCCAAACATATGTATCACAAACATTGAAGTTTTTTTCATTAAAGAAGTAAGACAACCTTAAGTTTATTAAATAATAAATTACTAAACAGATGAAAAAAAGATGTCATACAAGCTTTTTCTTATCTGATGATAAAACAAAATGTTGATCCTCAGTCATGGCACTGTCTGGAGGGCACATAGGATTGTTACAAATGGATCTGAATGTAATCTCTCTCAGTTGACCTTCATATTCATCTGCAGCATGCCACTGTCCCATCTGAAAGTAGAACAGCAGAGTGGGTTCAAACTTTCAATTCATTCAACTAGGGATGAAGAAATCCCTGGGAAGATTACCACTAATTTATATGAGGGAAAAGATGCCATGTTTATACCATCAAAAGTTTAGAGATGTTTAAATCAAGTTTAACCTCGACATTTTGGATTTTACAAGCAATATAAATGATTCTAAGACGAGCATATCAGTATAAAATGCACAATAATACGAAAGGTATGCTTAATAGAATAACCATGGAAGAATACTAAAGTGATCTTATCTTACTGTAAGATTTTTGTCTTTCCGTGATGAGCGATATTCGTTTGTGAAATTAGAGTCATCACTCAATAATAAATTATAAAGCTTCTCGGCTGTGCAAGGAAATACATCCTGCAGGAAACATTCATGAATCATAAGCATAGAAATTCACATCATAATAAAACCCACAAAGGCAGAAAAAGATGGGATGCATACATTGTAGATACCAACTAAAACCTGTTCTTTGATAAAAGGTATTTTTTCAGTTTTTAGGTTTAGATTCTTTATCTGGAGGAGTTGGAGCTTGCCTTCTACTACTGCTCGCACGCAATGCTGATGTTGCTCGCTCCTACATGTTGGCAAAATAAATCAAATAAATATATTTTTCATCTAATCAGTTGGTTCAAAAGGGGGGGGGAATTAACATAAATACAAGCAAACAAGGATTGAGACAAGAAACAATCATTTTGTGAACCTAAAAGCAAAAAGTTCAGAGCTATTGTAATATTTGCATTCACAACCAATTATATTCACCCTGCACATTCTCATTGATCTAACCATGTAACTTTGTTTCCTGGGTAGTTGAAACACATCATTGGGGCATATCGCAGTTGGAACACTGCCTCCTAAACTGTATTGTATCAATTCAGTTAAGGACTTCCCTTTATTATTCAGCTTTTACAATCTCTCCAACCACATATTCCCATCTGTTCTTGTTTCTTTTACAATTTTAATCCTACTCGCTTATCACAAACCAGTATTTCCCTACCTCTTCAGCTTATATAAATAACATTTCCCAGCACCAATATTTCCCAGTCTTGATCTTTACCCCCTTTCTTTGAGCTCCCAGAGTATTCTCAAGTTCTCCAATCCATCACAAGCAAAATTCTTCCTTTTTCACCCAATTTAGTGAGTTCCGATTACGAAAGTACATATATATATGGCTTCTTCAAAATGCATTTACAATTAAATTATCCTTTCTCACAGTAGATGGAGAAAACAATAAGAATAAGATTGTTTCAGCACTAGTTGAATATCAAAGGCCATCTTCTTTGGGAGAAAGAAAAGCCTTCAACTATTAATTTTCAGTGTTTCTAAAGATGATAGGAAAACTAATTTTCTATCCATATAAAAGTGATAATAAAAAATCAGGATTGAAGTTCTGCAAAAGAAACAATCAAATAAGAAGTAACAGATCACAGGGAGAACTTGCAAAAAAAACCTTCTCAGCTTCCAACATTGCATGGTGGTTTTTTTGTTGCACTCTGTAATGCTCGTACTGTGTGGTTCCTGTTCCAAAATGATGCAAATTTATACCCGACTCTACCTGAAAAAAGAAGAAGATAGAAAAATAAAGAAGATAGAAAAATAAACACACCTTTACTCAATTCATGTTATAAACAGTCTCACTCATGCAATTTGGGTTACTCCTTACAATGTAATAACCTTAATATGGTTTTAAAATGAAAAGATTTCTGAATGGGAAACTGTAGAAAGGGAGAGGGGGGAATCGACCAGTACAAATGACCAAAATAGAAATACATATAATTTTAAATGAAAAAGAAGAGTGTTCCTTCAGAATGTGATATCACTACATCTTTCTTTAATGAAAAAAAAACCCTTTTCTCATTCAAGAATATAATTGAGCACAAAATGCAAAACAACCATCGAAATAAAATTAATACAAAAAATTAATGAAAAAATGTAAATTTTTGTATACGACTGTAGTATTTTTCACGTGCCAACAAAGCACCACAAGATTGGTAAAGAAAACCTTTTGCCAGCAGTTCACCACCAAAGTGTATACAAACTTGTAGGAAAGACGGGCACGAAGCAGAATTGTTAAGTATCATGTAAAACAACTAGCCATTGGAATAAAAATCCTAGAAACAAGAAAGAAGTAGCGTAGTATGATATGTGATAAAAATAATGTTATAAACGTTCTAGCTGAATGAGAAAACTTCTCCGGAATTTCTGAGGTCCAAAAAATATTATATTTGAGATTCATTGTTGTCTAAAGCTAAAATAAAAATAATAAAAATCAGAACCGAAGTTTATGATATGAAATGCTAATAGGAAGAGAATATTTTTTCTTGAGAAATGTAGACCTAATATAATCTTTGTAAAACATAAGCACTAAATTTCAAAAAGGATTCGGTAATAAATAACATATGAAGTTTTTGAAACACGGTGAGACATCTCTAAATGACACTGTAGAAAAAACTGTCGTATGAGGTAACCAAAATAGGGACTTGTATTCCTCTATATGAAAATGGCTAATCCTCAACTAACAAGTGATTGCATTGCTCAAGCAAATGAGCTTTGTAATTCACTGGAAAAAGCCTGAAGGTAGCACACTAGGCTGACATAAATGCTACCATTCCATGTTGTAGCACAACCACCTTCATTGTGCAGAATATGTATTTTTTTCCATTAGATTCAGTCATTCCAAAAGTGGAGGACATCAACGGATCTAGGTCCAGCGAACCCAGGGTGAGTGAAAATTTGATTTGGTTGCAGGTAAGAAGGATGCATAAGTACATTACCATGGTTGAAAGGTAAAGTCCAAAAATGCTTAAACAAATAGAAGGTAGTTCTGTTGATCACCGAACCTAGAACTAATAGCAATAGGTGCAGAGGCCCTAAAATTGAATGCAAAGACAAAACAAACTGTAAATGAAGCTAATGTGAGATGAGACCACTTAACATTTATTAGTTGAACTAAAAGATGAATTTAAAAAACATTAGCCTAAGAAGATATAAAATAAATGAGCTTTGTAAGTCACTGGAAAAAAAGCCTGAAAGTAGCATACTAGGCTGACATAAATGCTATCATTCCATGTTGTAGCACCTTCATTATGCAGAATATGTATTTTTTTTCCATTAGATTCAGTCAGTCCAAAAGTGGAGGACATCAACGAATCCAGGTCCAGCGAACCCATGGTGAGTAAAAATTTGATTTGGCTGCAGGTAAGAAGGATGCATAAGTACATTACCATGGTTGAAAGGTAAAGTCCAAAAGGCTTAAACAAATAGAAGGTAGTTCTGTTGATCATCCAACCTAAAATTAATAGCAATAGGTGCAGAGGCCCTAAAATTGAATACAAAGACAAAACAAACTGTAAATGAAGGTAATGTGAGATGAGACCACTTAACAGTTATTAGTTGAACTAAAAGATGAATTTAAAAAACATTAGCCTAAGAAGATATAAAATAAATGAGCTTTGTAAGTCACTGGAAAAAAGCCTGAAGGTAGCATACTTGTAGAAATCAGAGTAATGATATAGAAATCAGAGTAATTCTCTGTATTTTCTCTTATTCTTTTCAATATGACAGATTACATATTTATATACAAAATATCTCTCTAAAGTAGGAAACTCTAAGAAAGGAAAAATAATAATCCTAGGATATGATCCCTTAAAATAACGGATTGTAGAAATCTATTTACAAAATCATATCTCTATAGGAATGGTAACAAATCATATCTCTATAGGAATGGAAACAAATCATATCTCTATAGGAATGGTAACAAATCATCTCTATAATTCCTACACTCGCCCTCAAGCTGGAGAATATACATTGTATAATCCCAGCTTGAATAGGAATTTATTGAAAACAGGCTTTGGCAAAGCCTTAGTAAGAATGTCTGCAACTTGTTCTTCTGAAGGAATGTATGAAAGTGTGGCTGTCTTTTTGTTAACTTGATCAGCAATAAAATGCCTATCAATCTCAACATGCTTTGTCCGATCATGTTGAACTGGGTTCTTGGCAATTTGAATGGCAGATTGATTATCACATAAAACTTCAAAGTGATCCTCTTGATTAGTGACAAGTTCTTTCAGTAGTTTAAGTAGCCAAATTCCTTCGCATATTCCCAATGTTAGTGCTCTGAATTCAGCTTCAGCACTACTTCTTGAAACGACAGATTGTTTCTTACTTCTCCAAGTTGTAAGGTTTCCCCAAACAAAGGTGCAGTAGCCACTAGTGGATCTCCTTTCAGTAAGGTCTCCGGCCCAACTAGAATCTGTAAAGATCTTAACAGTTATGTCTTGTGTCTTCTTAAACATTAAACCGTGTCCTGGAGTTTTCTTCAAGTACTTGAGAATTCTATTTGCTGCTGCCATATGCTCTTCAGTAGGATTGGTCATGTGTTGACTTATCACATTTACAGGAAATGCTATATCTGGCCTTGTCAAGGATAAATAAATTAGTTTCCCAACTAATCTTTGAAATTTCTCTTTGTCTACTAAGGACCCATCTTCTTTGTTGAATTTCAAGCTCGCCTCCATTGGTGTATCATTCGGCTTACAACCAAGAAAACCAGTTTCTTTGAGTAAATCAAGTACATATTTTCTTTGGTTGATTACAAGTCCTTCTTTTGACCTTGCCACCTCCATTCCTAGGAAATACCTTAGCTTTCCCAAGTCCTTGGTTTCGAATTCCTTATTTAACAACTTCTTCAAATTGCAAATCTCTTCTTCATCATCTCCGGTAAGAATTATGTCGTCCACGTACACAATAAGGATAGCTTTCTTATCTGTAGAAGTTACCTTGATGAAAAGAGTATGATCGGCGAGGGACTGCTTGTAGCCGTTTTTTAGGATGACTTTAGTGAACCTCTCGAACCAAGCTCTGGGTGATTGTTTTAACCCGTATAGAGACTTGTTGAGCTTGCAAACCTTATTGCTACCTTCAGCAGACTGTAAGCCAGGTGGCATTTTCATATAGACTTCTTCTTCTAGCTGACCATTAAGAAAAGCGTTTTTTACATCAAGTTGGTGTAATTGCCAATCGCAATTTACAGCCAAACTTAGGAATACTCGAACAGTATTCAGCTTCGCCACAGGTGCAAAAGTTTCTGTGAAATCTATCCCATATGTTTGCGTAAAACCTTTGGCCACTAGTCTCGCTTTGTATCGTTGGATGCTACCATTAGAGTTATACTTTACAGTAAAGATCCATTTACAGCCAACAACCTTTTTTCCTTGAGGAATGTCTGTAACAGTCCAAGTAGCATTTTTCTCTAGTGCAGAAATTTCCTCTTCAACAGCCTTTCCCCATTTAGAATCCTTTAGAGCTTCAGTTATGCTTGTGGGAACCTGTTCTTTATCCAAGGTTGCTGTAAATGCTTGAAAAGAAGGCATCAGAGAATTATAACCAGCAAATTTTTCAATAGGATGCTTGGTGCACTGTCTAACCCCTCTTCTAATAGCAATAGGGAAGTCATCTAGAGTAGTGGAAGTAGACTTACTGATTTCTTCTTCTATTTCGGCAGCTGGACCCAAATCCAATTCTCGGCAAGAATCAGATTGCAAAACAGCCTCAGGAATGTGTTTTCTTTTCCTTGTATAGAAACGAAGCTGTTTGATTGGTGTTGTTTGTGGGAGATTTTGAATGGGAGTAGGTGTATTTTCAGGAAGGGTATTTAAAGTGGGTATGGGTGAAGTAGTGATAGGAACTACCGGTGGATCAATGGGAGTAGTTACAGGTAACAAATCTATAGGTAAAGACAAGGATGATGGCAATTCTGAAGGTTGAGAATGAAAAGTGGGTGGAGATACCTGATATGGCTGAAAATCTCTCTATGTCTCCCCCTGAATTTCAGCCTGAATGAAATAGGGATCCTGCTCATAAAAAGTGATATCCATAGTGGTGAAAAATCT